ACTCCCACAGGGGGAGCTCTGCTCAGCCACAAGCCAGGCTGATGGCTGCCAGTACAGCGGTGGTGGTGGGAGCCTCTCCCACCTCCTCAGCAGTGCTGAGGATGTCTGACTGCAGCTTAGGCCTGCTCCCCGCTGACAAGTGGACATCCCCCGAGGGTTCCCAGGCTGCCATAGGGATGTCTGACTGCCAGCTTAGGCCCAATCCCCCAGGGAGCGGGCCTAAGCCAGCAGGTGATCATCCCCCCAACCCCCGAGGGGTCCCAGACTGCAAGAGGACACAGGCCAGGCTGAGGGACCCCCCGAGTGCACAAATTTTTGTGCACCGGGCCTCTAGTAGTTTAATATTACCAGATCCACATATTTTTAAACAGAAACCAGAAAACTGGATTTCTAGGTAAAATCTTGCAAATTCTAAAGATGAGCTCAAATTTAATGCTATAAAGGGCAAACAAAACACATAGACATAAAAATGTACATACAGATAAAAACGATATACAAACAAGCATATATATTACCTACATGTTGAATCACTTACCCATATGAACTACAGAGAATCATAGGCAAATGTAAGCATGATGTACACATATAGCCACACTCCTATTTGCTCAGACATTCACAAAAAGAAACTCAATCTATTTCAAAGGATGAGGGAAGGGGAATGTATTCTAGTTGTCATAAATAACGGATACACATCCCTACCATCACCACCCTGCCACTCCCACTCCCACCCCTCACCTGACTCTCAGCTCTGTCCACATCCACAGTCAGCCGCTGGATGGCCTGGTTAAGCCTGTTCAGCTCTTCCTTGCTGTACCCCAGGCTCTGCGGGTGTCTCTGCATGGTCATCTTTATCTCCTCACACTATGGGGTGGGGGCAGCAGAGTAAGAGGAAGAATCAGGGGACGAGGAGAGTAAATAAGGGCACTTGACCGATATTACCATGATGAGCCAAGCTGTGGTCTCCAAGCCTCCTGTGAGCACTAAGCCAAGCTACAGCCCAAGGAACTCCCAGAATCCTCACCGCTGAAGACAAGGCCCCTCCTACCTGTGGCTTTATGACCTCACCTTGTGACAATTGCAGAGTTCTAACCTGGAGTAGAGGGGCAGTTCTGGGAGCTCAGATGGGAAAGTGGAGGTCCTTGGGCTGGAATGGGCCTTGCAGGAAGGTGCTCGAGCCGACCAGCCACATTGCTACCAGACAGGCGATTTAGGCAGGCCTATCTGTTAGCAGTGGGGAAGACAGACACGAGGGAGGGACACTGGGACTGGGGATTCCAGTTCCCAAGACCTGATAGGAAATCTGGGGTGATGACTCTAAACTGAAGAAGGAACCAGGGGACTAGAGAGTACGAGCCTCTGTTGGCATTTCTTTTTGTTTATAAATTTCTCATACATGCCAAAGAGTATATATAACATACATTTAATAAAACAGATCCTTGTGTACCCACCAGGACCTTCAAATCTCCCTGGGGGACCTTTATCATAGCATCCTTCATCCCTAATCCTGTCCAATCTCCAAAGTAATCACTCTCCTGGGTTTTTGTGTTAACTATTTTCTTGCTTTTCTTTATTATTTTATCATGTGTGAATAAACCTCCAAGCAATCATTTAGTTTTGCCTGCTTTTATGCAATATATATATATATATACATATATATATATATAATTACTC